CGCGCGGCCTCGCCTAGTGGCGGCGCGCCTCACCGGCCTTTCCGCGTCCCCGCTCTGCGACACCTCTGTCGCGGCCTCGCCTTGCCTGGCAGCGACGGGGCGTGTTGATCGCGGCAGGGAGGGACGACGAGCGACAGGGAGCGGCGCAGCCGCTCGGCGAACGTCTTGATCTCCAGTGCTTGGCGATGGCGGCAGGGAGCGACGGCGAGCGTCAGGGAGTGGCGCACCCGCTCGGTGGCCGTCTTGATCTCCAGTGCGTGGCGATGGCGGCAGGGAGTGATGGGGCGTGGGATCGCGGCAGGGAGCGAGGGAGCGACAGGGAGCGGGAGTCTCGCACGTCAATCACGCATGCATGAACAGTGGCACGGCAGCCTTGTGTTGGGCGCGGGGAGGACGAGGAGGATGGTACACATGTTCTTGGCCATTCAATTTGAGCGAGTAAAGAGAGAGAAGGCTTGTATAGAGTAGAAGTTGGACGGTTCGTTTGAAATGTGTGTTTTTTCTAGGTATACTTTTTGGGGTGGATGGAGGGAGACTTCTTAGCGGGTTTGTGAGGATATAGGAAAGAAAAAGTCGATGAATTAGTAGAATAGATTGATATTTTTGTAGCAACTTCTGGTTGCTGAGAGAGATGTATTTTCTATCTATTAGCTTAAAGTCAGCAAACGTTGGTTTGAAACAAACCTCAGCTAGGATGACACCTCATGCTAGTTCTGCAGCAGAGAGACAAGAGCAACATATTGGCTTCAGATCTTATATTGACCCAACTAATGTTGTAAGTCTATATTATCATGTTTAGAAATTATACCTAGGCCAGGTATTGTCTCCCCTCGAGGGAAGTTATAAAAGAATCCCAAATTCTGGTGTCTAATATACCAACAAGTCTCATGCAATGGTTTTTCTTCGGGTAAATAAACCAAAGCATTAAAGAGAGCTCTAGAGAGAGAAAAAAATTGTCTTATATAAAGTCATACATGTTTCATTTATTTCCCAAAATTTTCCAAGCATATATGTTACTCCAGGTTATTTATATTGGTCTTAGGATAATACTTTGGGATTATGTAACCCATTGAAAACATATATAAACATTGCAAGGAAAAAAACCCATATTAAACTTCCAAGGGGGTCTAACAATCTGAGCACAATTTTATGGAAGCTTAAAAAAACTAGAAATTATGTGTGATATTGCACTGCACAAAATTTCACGCATGGACGACACATGTCAACATGCGCGAAGTGCATGCTTCGCTTATGTGAAAAACGGTGGCTCGACAGCGACGAGCGTGTCATGACAAATCATCCATATGGCCCTGTATTATTTTATTCTTATGTATGGTAGTGGCTTCAGGCCACGTGCACAACGAGTTCACATGCCCACGAGAATAACACACATGGGACAGAAGGCCACCATGAAGATGTTAGCAAGTGCTTTGTACCAATCTGGTGGAGGTACGACAAAGCCATGCGGCTACAGGCCACAATAGGATCGCATTATCAGGGGTACGGATGTGCACAGCCGCGGCAACAGACGGGACGCAACTAGTTAGCGACACGGCATCAAGCGATGCTGGCACATGCCATAGGGAAGGGTTACAGAGCCAATGACGACGCTGTGTCAGCCTGCTTCGGGCATCTGAATGAGACCGCGCACAATGTCATAGTGTGACCGCAGCTAAAAACAGCGTGGTGCACTTGTGCATATACGACTAACATGATTCATAGAGCTTATGAAAAACATCGAAACCATGCATGTACTAATCTCCTTGAACATTAAGAATTCATCTACCAATTGTATCTTAAGATTTAAACTTGTAGAAAAAATAGGATTAAAGGAGTATATATACGTGCTTGTGGCAAGGCCGGCGGCGGGCGACAAGTGCACGTCTCAGTCTTAATTAACAGAAACATCTATTATAGACCATAACAAAAATTAGTCTGCCACGGACTAATAATTGCCAGCTTTGGTGTTCAAGACAAATGCATTCTTGAGATGCGATTTATTCATATCTTGTAGATGATGCCAATTTAATCTGCGTCGCATGTCGCATAGGACAGTGATTAATAGATACATACCACGTAAAATGTTTGGCATTGTCATAGATCGGACGGCTTGACGACGACGACACGTCTGGTTGCAGTGCAGATTGACGACCGATAGAGATAGCACGTGTGCACTCAACCATAGGCGGGGCGCCAAGATCGCAAACCCCTTTGTCCTCCAGGGAAATCATCTACTAAAATTAATCTACGGGATTAAATCTGGTAGAGAGTGATTAGATGGAAAATGGAAGGCAAACCGTGGCCTTCCAACTTGATGACGAAGCGATGCAGCGAAGCGACCAGGATGGTTGCGATCGTGGCCGTAAACGATCGTGGATTATTTACTGCTTGCTGGTTTGGTGTAAGAGAAAAATACTATTTCAACTTATAATTCACGATCGTATACGAGCAAGCGAACATGCTTGTTCTTGCATGCGAACATGCATATTGCATCCATGCCCGTATGTACCTGTTGACGCCTACGTCTTGAACTTTGATTCAAGAGACCAATTCTTCTCCAGCGTGGCCATGCCAGATGTGTGCCCACGGCCGGCATGCGGTGCCCAATCCTGGGACGGCGGCACTGGAGACCATTACTCGTGTAGTCACGTAGATGCAAGGAACAGTTGCACCCGCAGATGGAATCCACATCCACGGCTGCTCGTGCTGGCTCCTGGCGGCGGGGTGGCTGACAACGGCCATGAGCATATGGATGGCTCCGGCTCGTGTGTTGCAGAATCGAGATGACGTCGAGTCATATAAAAAAAACAATCTATGATTAGCAAAATCAAATGGAGATTGATTTGATGGCAAACATATCATGAACGACTCACCTAGTTGGAAGAGCTGCTGATAACGTGTTGAGAATCGGTCTATTCACGGATTGCTAGATCCGTTTTCCCGTTCCCGATTCTAAGAAAGAGGCGTGTAGAACTTGTAGATAGATCACGTTTATTTCTCCCAATTCACGAGAACAATATACCAGAACACACGTGAGACACAGATATATGAGATGAGCCATCTCTTCATTAGTTATCTGACGTATACATATAGTCCATTTCTATAGATGCTTTCAAAGCATATATGATAGCCACCCTGCCATATATAGTATGAGTCCATCAGAGCATATATGGTATGAGCTTGTCAATCCTGTAATCGAGGAGTTCTTAACAAAACCGACTCATTTACTGCCACATACTTTCCGTCCTGCTTTCGAAAAGACGGACTCCTAACTACTATCTTGAAGGCGCGACACTGACGTTGGCTCTATTGGGCCTACAATTTCATTCTGGGCCAAATTATGACGGGCCAACTCCGTCAGGCTCGGCCTAGAACAGACAGCCGCGCCCCGAGACGGTGGGAGGCGGGTTGGTGACTTTGGTGGGCCAACAGAGGGGGCCCACGCTAAAATAACCCACGCGCCAGGGCCAGGGCGCCACACGCGCACAGCGCAGCGCACCCGCCCACAGTTTAAGCCACCGCCGTGTCTGACACGCGGGCTCCACGTTTCACGCCCCGCATGTCAGAGAGAGCGGCCGGACGGCGTCACCGGACACGCACGGCGCGTCGCTTTCAGTTCGTGCTCCAGCCTTTCGGTCTAGTTTAATGGTTTTTCCGTCTACTTCTAGTCGTCCGTCCGCCTCCGTCCTCGTCGGCTCGGCTCTGGCTGCCAACCCCAAGAACAGCCCTGCCTAGGGAAGGACCGAAGGGGAGGTGCGTAGCTGGTGGCCTGCGAGTGGCAACCGGACAGAGGCGCCGCGGGACTCTTCTCCTCGCCGTGCCGCTACGGTGAGCTTGCCCCCTCGCTTCCTTTTTGGGACATGGTGTGTTGTACTGCTGTGTGTCGCTGCCGTCCTTTTTTTTTTTTTTCTCTGCTGCCGTTTCGGCGAGGCCAATGTGCTGTTCCTGGTGTGGGGGGAGATCATGGATGGAATAGGCCTTAGTGGAATAGTGGGTGATTCTTGTCGATAATAGGTGTCGGGGGAATCGATGGGTGATGGAGTTCGTTCTTCACCATTGATTGAAGCTCCGCGAAGTCTCAGTTATTTAGGGCTTAGTATGAGATCTATTGGGGCTAGGCGAAGAAATGGTTTCCTGGTGGGGGTACTGGCTCTACAATTTTGCCCTGTTTGGACATATCCTCTTATCCCAATGAGAATTTGATGCTTGCTACATCATTGTTATCCTAAATAAAATCATTATTAGGTACAGATGGCTCTTTCGGAAAGAATCTGTGTCTTGGGTGTGGGGAAGAGCAGCTCCTTATGTTCACCTTTAGATGGCTACCCGTTTAGAAGGCGTTTGTTGTCAACAAACCCATTGCTGAAGCACGAAAAGACTGCTACCACTAGCTATAGGTATCACCACACTAATTTTGTGGAAATTTTCAGATAGTGAAGCCAGTCACTTACTCACTTCTCAAGGGCTCAGTGTTATATCAAAATGGCATCTTTGATGACTAGGTGAACAAATGGTTCTCTTATATAAGTCAATACAGCTGATTTGGCGCGGAGCCGTGTTTGCCCTGTGTATACAGTTCAGAATTGTACAGTGTCCTCTTGCAGTCCCTGCAATGTTTCCTTTTCATGCTGCCGCACTCATTTGGTTACAAATTTATGATATCATCAATGCCATCAGGAAGATTTGATGGGCTGAATGGTTTCATTTGTATACCACTGAGCAATTTATCTCTAGAGAAATATAATACTTAATTGTGTCATCAAATTCCACATTTTCCTTTTGATCTTAGGTGATCCTGCTAAAAATTTGAACTCTGGTTTTGCTGTGTGGTTTCACACTTATAAAAAAGTGAAATATGCATGAAATGGATTTTAAAATTTCATCCCAAATTGCTTTTTCAGGTGACACCACGATATTGATGTGAAGTTTTGGGGCACTTCCTGCATCCCTTATATGGTATTAACAATATTTTTAATTATCTGGGTGATCCATTTGAGCAAATGGAAGGCAGCGACCTACCCCCTGGAAACATGTTGCAAGGGGTTCCCTATGATACTTTAGACTTACGTGGCAGCTCAATGCAAAAACATGCTCCAAACTCTGGAAAACAGATCTTCAGCAGCTCCCAGATGCCGGGGACTTTCACAATGTCTATGACCAGGGCTACAGAGCCTGATGACTTTCCTGGATTTCAGTTCAAAGAACATGGAAAGAGTGATGACCACCACCACCAACACCATAGTCATCACTCAAAGAACTTCAAGAGTGATGGTGAAGAACATGATGTGGCTGAAGATGCTACTGATACCCCAAGTGGCAAAGGCAAGAAGGGCTCTGCATGGCATCGGATGAAGTGGACAGATTCAATGGTAAAACTTTTGATTACAGCAGTGTCTTACACTGGAGATGATCATGGTGCCGATTCCGGTGGTGGCAGGAGGAACTTTACAATAATGCAGAAGAAGGGCAAATGGAAGGCGATATCGAAGGTTATGGGAGAGAGAGGCTGCCATGTGTCACCGCAACAGTGCGAGGACAAGTTCAATGACCTTAACAAGAGATACAAAAGGCTGACAGACATCCTTGGTAGGGGCACTGCTTGCAATGTTGTGGCTAATCCATCACTTCTTGATAGCATGAATCATCTTTCTGATAAGATGAAAGACGATGCAAAAAAGATACTTAGCTCAAAGAACCTATTTTATGAGGAGATGTGTTCCTATCACAACAACAACCGTGTAAATTTGCCTGAAGATCATGCACTTCAGCATTCACTACTGCTTGCCCTTAGATGTAAAGAGGAGCATGATCCTCGGAGGGATCCAAGTGGAGATGCTGATGAAGACGATCAAAGTGCGGATTCTGATTATGAGGAGAATGACGAAGAGCAACATCCTGTGCATACAAACATGTGGGAGCCCTCAACGCACAAAAGGAAGCGCCACAGTGATGTGGCTTTGGTCACATCAAGCTCTCATGAAGGCAGTGAGAGGTCTGATCCCCATGGTGTCACAGTGGACATCAACAAGGCTTTCACAGATGCAACCAACATGGTTTTGTTGCAACAGGACTTGGCTTCACAAGCCATAGAGATTCAGAAACGTCGCTTGCAGATTGAAGCAAAGGAACTGGAACTCACAAAGCAACGTCTCAAGTGGGAGCGGTTCAGGAAGAAGAAGGACAGGGAGATAGAAAAAATGGCATTGGAGAATGATCATATGATGATTGAGAACAAACGCTTGGAACTTGAGCTGAGACATAAGGAGTTAGAGCTAGATCTTAAGCTGAAAGGCCAGGGGAACCATCCGTAACTTTTGCTTGATCAACACTACAATATGTAAGATGGTAAACAAGTAAGTGGGCTTTTGAACTATCTTTACTAAGGAAAGGCTTTATATTCATCATCTTGAGCAGCTATTTTTTTATATGAACCTTTTCCGTTTTAATTTGCTAGATATGGAACTCATTCTTGTTTGTGTTTTCTGTTAATATAGACATCTTTTTATCTGTATATTTAAAAGTGCATCAATGTTTGTCGTTGGAGGGAAACAAAAACATGTCATTAGTTTTAAGCTAGGCGATTCCTAACATTTCTGCTCATATTGGATTTGCATATAAGAAAAGCATTGCTTTAGTTAAGTTGTGATTGGCTACATTTCCTGTATCTATGCTAACTAGCAGGAACCCCGCGCAATTGCGCAGGCTAGGAAGCATAAAAATGTAGCATGAGAGGTTACAAACAATGTAAAGCACACAGCAAAGAATAAGCAATTATTTTTTCATGTCAGGACAGAATAAATTTCTGAGTAGATATTAGATGGTATGAACCGGGAAAGATGCTCTTGATTACCACTCTCGATGCCTTTAGATATCCACATTCAGAAAGCTTGAATTTTACAATTTTATTGAGTATGGCATGACGTACCCATGTGCTAAAAACAGCATTGGTACATGGGTATTACCGAAATTTCAGAATTGCCAATATCCATCCTTGTTAGGGTGCATCACTGTTGACAACTTGAGGCTGTAAAATAATCTTCTTGTAGGTAAGGTGGAGCTTAAGGTGGTAAAAGAATCTTATCACCTGTAAGCAGAAACAAAGAAAATTATATTGGTGAGGTATTATTGATCACATTTGGACTGGTAATGGGAAGAATAACCTGAGAAGAATATTACGAAATTCCATTGAAACTGGTCTTGTTTTGCTAGGCTCATGTAAAATTATTATTATGTATAAAACAGGTTAAGGTCCATGCTTAGTAAAAGCAAGAAAAATTTGCTACAGGACATGTAAAATGATGCCGAGTTAGTGGTGAATACAAAAGAAAACACTCTGGCTTCAAGCTAAGGGCGCGTTTGGTTCTGGACGTGCTTTGCCTTGCTTTGCTGACACGGATGGGAATCATTAGCTTGTTGCATCAAGAAATCATTAGCTTTCATAGATGACGAGATCATGAGAACGTTTATAACATGTGACATACTGACGTGATGGGAATTGCAGTGGTTCTAACATATACGCATCTAGGTTTCATCAAATGTTCAGGAATCAAATGCCAAGTTGCTGTCAGCATTGAAGACGTCACTCATACTCTAAAAAGTAACAGTTTGTTCGGGTAGCATCAATACTTCTTAACGACTAGTGGAGGAATTCCGCAAGCGCACAGAACTATCGTGTAGCACTTCGCTCGGTGAGTATCGAGTGTTGAATTTATATTTTTTCCTACAGGAAGGCGGAAGGCTAGAACTTATATTTATAGTTAGGATTGCTAAGGTAAAGCCTAAGTGTATCCTAGGTAAACGATAATGGTGGTTGAGTGTAAACTACCTAAACTAACTACTAGACAAGCTACACTAGAGATAGCTAGGTGGGAGAGCGAGCGATATATCTTTCAGTAACAAAGGGTAAACTAATGACTAGGAGAAATGCGCTAGTACTTTGGGGCACAACCCGCCTATCAACTAGGAGAGTTAAATAGACAAGGTCTGCCACGAGCCCTACGATTTAATAACTAGACCTAACGTGGTGGAATACAGAGGATGGACGAGGCTGTCACCACTTGCTAACTACCACAATCTATCCGGTGGCCTAGCCGTATCCACATGTAATCTATAGCCTAAGCACATCGCTTAATCTATAGGCTTACTACTTTGATCTGAGCTCCGATGAAATGGGATCAAAGTATCCTAACCAGACGGTGGAACCGGTACTAACGAAAGACTACTAACTAAAAGATAACCTATGCTACTAATGCCAAGCAATAAGCACCTAAGCTCACTAATGATGAGCAATAATGAACAAGTGCTTAAGCAAAGCAAAACAATAATACTTAATAAACTACTGAATATAAAGTACTGAATAAAGTAAATGCTAAATGAAAGAATTACAAAAGAGCTATACCAGACCCAGAAGACTCTTCCGGACTCTGAGAGAAGCTCTGCTCTTGCTCTACTCCACTACTAAACTACTTCTACTACTAAGCTAGAGAGCTTGGAATTGAATGTGGCACTTCTCCACCGAGCACCACACCCTCTATTTATAGTGTAGAGAGGCATGGGGGGTACTTGTAGGCAGCCAGGAGGTCGGTTGGGGTGCCTTGGGCTCCGGACAGCAGCATAGGGGCGTCAGCCGGCCTTAGGATGCACCGCCTTTGCATCCTACGGTGCTGGTTGGCACCCAAAGGCGGTTGTGAAGCCAGCACGTGCCAAGTTTTGGCCGGTAAGGCGGTTCCAAGGTCGGTTGGAGCCTCTCAAGTCTATGACGGTGGGCCGGTGGATCCACGGCAACTCCATCTCGTCCATCGGTGCAAACCGACTTAGATCAACGCATGAGAATGCTTCTGGAGCAGCTCCCACGGATCGGTGACGTGGCAGGGGCCAGGGTGGCGCCGGGCGGCGCCCATGTGGGGCCGGCCGGCGTGGCATGTGGGCCCCTAGCCCCACTGCCACGGCCACTTGCTCCCTAGGTTCATATTTGACACCATTTTGGCCTATTTTTGCTATAATTTTCTGTATACAAATAATCCTACAAGCACAAGTGGAACTAGGTGAATTATAAACAAAATGCAACACATGTAATGATGATTTACCTCACTTTATCATACTTTTGGGTGGAATGTTGATGGTAAAAACATGTGTTAGTGACCATCAAGAAACAGTATAACTGAAAAGCATCTACAAACAATAGGCAGTAGTGCACATAATATGGTGTGAACTCACTTATAATTCCATTATTTTGTATAGCTGGCTGGATAACCTTGCAATATATTATCAGTATAGCTATGGTATGGTGAAGCCTATACACATTATGTTCATGGTAGTTTAGCCATCTTAGCATGCATAGCCAAAATAAATCAAAATTATATGTTCATTGTTGTCAGTCATTTGAGTGCGCGCTATGATTACCAGAGTTTAGGTCGACAGATGGTGCTCTATGTTGAAACAGCTTGGTCCTATATGTGGCCATTCTGAACTGCTTCCGTGCTGCAGAGTTTGCAAGTCAACATTATTCAGCTTTTGATCGGTAGCATTTCCTGCACCACAAAGCAAAACCAATGGATATTTATGTACATGCATACTGAAGCTGCAAAGGTAGCACCTGTTAAGGTATACATAAGTAGCATAGAGGAATAGTTAGATGACTGCAAGGCGCCGAACTGACGCAAAATTAGCAAGCAGAGCCCTTTTGGGCATTTCGTCGGTCACTTGAAGGGCACAGAACACCAAGAGCAAAGGAAACAACAGATGGGGGGGAGCTCACGGTGCTCAGGGATGAAGGAGAAGCAATTGAAGACACCACCATCCCATCTATGCTAGGAGATTGAAGCACAATAGAGAGGAAATGGCAGTTACCTCGTCGTGGATGGCAGATTGGGGCTCCGGTGTCATCCGCACCATGTGGAGAGGCGCTCGCTCGGGCGGCCTTCCTTGCGCCGCGGCCACGCAGGTGGCCTGGTGCTAGGCGCGACAGCGGCTCAGCACAGGGTCTGGCACTCTGGTGGGCAGTGCGGGGAACGGCCCTGGGGCGGACACGATGGCGAGCGGAGGCGACGTGGCCTCTCCAGGGAACAAAAAATGTTGTACAAAAACATAGATAATGGTAGATTACAGCCATATAAATGCTCTAGGAATAACAGACCATTTACATTTAAATGTGGAAGAATTGTGATATTCATCCTGATGCTACCCTGACTTCACAATGCTTGTGCATGATGTACTTGTTGGTTATTGGGGATGATCAGACATCCTTGCCGCTTTTGGCAACATCCGGATTGATATGGCAACATCCATTACCATTTACACTTAAATTGGAAACTCTATAGTTCTTAAATTGAAAACTCTATGGTCCTTAAATTGAAAACTCTATGGTCCCCTGCGATGCTGGAACACTTGTAGATGTGAGATAGATCTTTTATGTGAGTCGTTTGGGAATCACCGAATCATGTAGCTAGGATTTGCTACCATTTTTTGTGTTGGTTCCTCAACCAGTTGTACATATTACTGTCCAATATGTATTTGGAACGAATGAGCATTTCTTCCTACTTCTGTTTGAATGAATCATGGGTTAAGCATTCTTCATAACTAGCAACAGGATCTTTGTTCATTAGCTTTACAAGAAGTTCCATAGTTGACAGCTCTAAGATCCTAGGTTGCGTATGCTTGTTCTTAGGGGTACTGAAAGCCCAAACAATGTAATTTACATGGTTATTAATTTAGTCCGAGCTCATTATTGAAGGCTTGGTGATTTGTTGCTTATTGCTTAACTTAACCAGACGCTGGTTGTCCTGTGCTTTGATGGTGAGTACTAATACTCATTCTTTTTCTGATGTTTCAGATCGCGGTTGAGCTTCTGGAAGAGAGAGGTGGTAGATTAGAGTAGACTCTGACAACCATTCCCGTGCTTATGACTTTGTTCTGTGTTCTTTCTGTCTTGTGAGATGTACTTGTTGGGCCTCCTGCTTGTAGCACCCCCTCTGCGACAGTAGTATTGTTGGGCTTGATGTGATCTGGAAGACTCTGACTTTCCAACTGGCCTAGCCAATTTTTTTTCCTTCAGCATGTATATCAAGGTGATGTGATGTGGCTTTGGCCACCTCTGAAGCTTTCATGAAGGTAGTGAGACTCTATTGGGCCTAGTTTGGGTTAAACCATTACTGCTAGTGAGACTTTTTTTTTTTGGAGAGCTCTACTGGTCCCCATGGCATCACAGTGGACATCAACAAGGCTTTCCCGGATGGAACCAACTTGGCTTTATTTTCTGCAATAGGACTTGGCTTCACAAGCACTAGAGATTCAGAAACGTCGCTTTCAGCGA